TTCACTTCTCCCCAAGGCAGAGTGGGGATCCATTTCTAGCTCTACATTTCATCTTCTATGTAACTTTAAGTCAGCCATTTTACCTGGTAATTGACAGAAGAATGCTTTCTGCAAGTGGGCGGGCCTTCGATGGTGAAGGTAAAGGCCAGAGGGGGTGTTTATGGGCATGGTCACTTTCTTTCTAAAGTAACCTTTCTAAAACTAAATGTTTCTGTCTTAGATTTGATGTATCATTATGCTTCCCTGATTGTATGAGCTTCTGTTATATTTTGGGTTTATTGAGTGATTTACAGTGTCCCTGTACTTTGTAGGGCCTGGAGAGTATCATTTGGATTTCCCAGGTGAGTAGAGGACAGGGCATGCACTAATGTGAAGGTCTACAGCTAAGCATTGCTGGGAGGAAATTATTGCTGCTAATTCCATTCAGATACTTCTCTTTTTTAAAGATTTATTTTTTATTTATACAATAGCTGGGGTACAGGCCAGAGGCACGGGAGGGTGAGAGGATTCACCAGAGACAGAGTGGGGAACAGAACAGGCAGACTGACTGAAATACACTGCTGAGCGGAGCAGTAGGCAAGATAGGAGATGTCTGCTGTGCCATGTGGGTAGCTGCCTGGCCAGCCAAGGATTAAACTTGTGCTGCAGAGGCTGTGGATGGCTTCATAGTGCTGTGCTTAACCCCTCACACACCAGGGAGGCCCTGTTTTGATTGTAATAGAGGTAATATTGGTTTACAACATTTATGTTTTAAAGGTATAACCCCCCCCCCGTTAGGTGTTGTTACTACACCATACCCATCACCAAACACCCATAGTCCTTCTGCAGAGTTCATTCTACTCCCTCTCATCTTTGTTCTAGCCCCTCACCCTCCATTGAATGCTTTTCTTGAGGAGGATCACCACCTAAGCATCGAAGTGAGATTCTCTCTGTGTTAAAATGGAGAGGAGGACCTCCCGGTGGCGCAGCGGGTTGAGCACAGTGCTGTGAAGCTGTCCACAGCCTCTGCAGCACGAGTTCGATTCCCAGCTAGCCAGGGAGATACCCACATGGCGTGTCAGACCTCTCCTGTCTCACCCGCTGCTCTCCTCAGCAGTGTATTTTAGTAGATTTGCTTGTTCTGCGCCCTGCTCTGTCTCTGGTGAATTCTCTAATGCTCCCACACCTCTGGCCTGTACCCCAGTGCTTGTACAAATAAATAAATCTTTAAAAAAAATAAAATAAATAAAATGAAGAGGACCTCCCTGCCACAACACACAGACACACACACACAGACACACACACGCACATTTTTTCTTTCCATTTTGCCATCTTCTTTAGCATGGAAATTCAATTTTGCCTTTCCACTTAGCTGAACTTATTCTTACTGCAACTTAGAAGTGTTTCCCTTTGTTTATTTACCCACGAAAATGAAATGAAAGTCAGAATTCTCACAGTCGCTCTTAGTCTGATTTTAAGATAGCTATTTTTTTCCTTCCAACTATCTTAACTATGTCAGGGCCCATTTCTACCCTTTTGTCTTTTGTGTATCTGTTTTCTAGACCCTTATCCCTCACCTACTTTGTTTAAAAATGTGAATTTCATGCTAAAGAATGCAGTAAGAAGGCTATGGTGGTTGAACTTGGAGAAATTAACACCTTAGTTGAACTTAAAGCAGATAATTATTATGAAGTTACTACTATGGATTTTAAAAATTGCCTAATCTTGCCTGGAAAATAGTCTAGATTTATTTTGTTTTCAAGTTATTTCTTCAAAATAATATTATCCAATTTTCTTTTCTGCTCCTTTTCACGCTTCCAGGAGTGCCATCAACCTGTTTCTCACTATATTTAATTTCATTGCAGAAATAGAGTCAAGAAGAATAGAGCTGGAAGTGACCTTAGAAACAGGCAGCATGACTTTTTATTCTGACACTGATTTGCAGTGAGGATTTTGTCTGTTCATTTGGCTTTTGTGGGCCTCTGTTTTTGCCTTCATATGATCTCTAAGCTTTAGTTCAGTTCTGATAGTGTTTAATTTTCTGACAATTCTTTATGACAGGATAATCTGTTGAATTATACAATGATGCTCAGAAATCCTCTTGTAAAGTAGGTGTGAAAAGGCAGAGGTTCAGATAGAACATTTGAACCTGAAAATCAGACTGTGAGCTAGTGTTAGATGGTAAAGTCTCCATCAACTTGTGTCTCCTTTTTCTGTTATTTAAGAAATCCGTGAAAGTACTTTCCCTATCCATTATGATTTTAAAGACAGAATAGAACTTGATGAAGATTCTTTTTACTTTAATAGTTGTTAAGTATTTATTAGTCCATTCTTTTGCCAAGTGAAGGTCAAATAAGTTTCTCTATCTTGGCTGTATATTGGTCATCTGTGATGACTGACAGCCCTTCCTCTCATACCCAAGGTCCTGATTCAATTGGTATGAGATGAAGTTTGAACAGCAGAATTTTTATTTTTCTTGGTGTTTCAGTGTATCACCAATATTGAGAAGCGCTGGGTGGCACTAATAAGGGCTTGTGAGACTTACAACCTTAATGAGAATACAAAGTATGTCCCCAGATGTGCACACCCAAAAGTATGTTAGAAGCAGGCATGTTTACTTATAACATAATTCATGGAACATTTCTAATCCTGTGAGGTCTAAAGAAGGGATAGTATGGTATTTTGCTTACTGCAGTGGTTCTCAAAGTGTTCCAGGACCAATAGCATCAGCAACACCTGGGGATTTATTAAAAATGTAGTTTATGAGGCTCCATCCCAGGCCTGCTGAATCAGACTTTCTGGGGATGAACTGGGGCAATCTCTGTTTTAACAAGACCTTCCAGATACCCTGAAGAACCCCAAAGTCCGAGAGCTATTAGGATAGAGTTTTTATAGGGTCGAGAGGTAGTATATAAAGGTCTTAAGGCAGTGTCTTGTGCATTGTAAGAGTTAATGGGCAGAGTACTCTAATATTATTATATATGGTTGCTTGGTAGTGTGAATATGGTTGGGAGCTCTACTTGACAGCTGTTAATTCTTCCAATGCTAAGACTGTTTTATATATTTATATATATATATATATATATATATATATATATAGTGAATGGAGACCCCGTGAACTATCTCAGAGTTACATTAGAATAACCCATATGAATCACCATCCTTCTACCGTGTTGTTTAGACTCTTTTTTTTTTTCTGAAGACCAAAGTTGTGGTGTTTTGGTACTATCCGAAACTAACTCATTTGGTGATAGAGATGGCTGCTTTGCACTTCATGTGGAACAGCTGAAGTGCAAGTAAAAGTTGCTTATTCTTAAATAGAGAAGAACATTGCCCATATATGTCTAAAAACATTATTTTCAAGATGAAAAGGACAGAATTTTTTTTTTTTTTTTAGAAAAAAGTTTGTTTTCCAGTAGAATTTTTTTCTTATGGAGAGAATTTAAGACGATTCCACAGAGACCTTGTATGACCACACCTGACATTTTAGGGGTGGATGCCTTTTTTAAACCAATGCTAACTTCAGTGTGTGCTATTTTTTCTTAAATACAGATTTTTTTAAAGCTCTATTTTTATTTATTTATGCATATAAGAGCTGGGGTATAGGTGAGAGATGGTGGGGAATGTGGTGAGAGAATTCATTAGAGAGTGGGGAGCAGAATAGGCAGATCTACTGAAATACACTGCTGAGGGGAGCAGCGGGCAAGACAGACGAAGTCTGCTGCGCCATGTGGTTAGCTTCCTGCCTGGAAATAGAATTTATGGTGCATGGTCTGGCAATAGCTTAGTAGTGCTGCACTTAATCTCTTGTGCCAACAGGGAGGCTCCAGTGTTCTTTTCTTATTGGGCAACAATGTTGGTTTTCTGCTATCCTAAACCCTCATTACTACCTACCTGGATTGTGTTTAGATTTCCCAATCAGATGTTTCTTATTCCAGTTTTTCCTAATCTTTCCTGCATATACTTTATATTGGTCTTAATTAATCATATTGTAAACTAATGTTCCCTTCTCAGAAATCCTTCGTGGGTCCTCACTACACTTAGGCAGCTTCAAATGCTTTGCTACATGGGCAACATCCATACTTCAAAGCTTGTTTTCTTCTTTGCTTTAATTTTTATAACCTACTTGTATTATTTTATGTTCCGATATTTATGTCATATTGTAACTTGCCCTTTATTCTCTAGACCCTGATTTTTTTTTTAAGATTTATTTATACATACAAGAACTCGGGTACAGGCCAGAGTTGTGGGGGGTGAGAGAATTCACCAGAGACAGAGTGGGGAACAGAACAGGCAGACTGACTGAAATACACTACTGAGGGTAGCAGCAGGTGAGTCAGGAGAGGTCTGCTACGCAATGTGGGTAGCTCCCTGCCCAGGGACCGAACTCGTGCTGCAGTGGCTGTGGATAGCTTCATAGGTTGCGTCTTAACCACTTGCGCCACCAGGGAGCCCTAAATCCTGAATTTTTTGATCTATGCCTTTATCCTCCTGTCTTTCTCTCTAGATGAACTTTCTCTCTTACCACAATGTTCAGGGGCTACTGAAATGATCCAGTGAAGTTTTCCTTGTTTCTCTACCTGGACATAAGCTTTCTTTTATACTGACTTCTAGAAGACTTTGTAGGTATTAAATTGCATTTTGTAATATCCTTAATTGTTATACATTTTTTTTCCTTTTCAACTTGATTGAAAATTTACTGAGGGCAAGCATCAAGCATATGCATGTCAGTGTTCCACCACCCAACAGCCTTCCCTATTCTTGTTAAATGTACCAGACCCCACTAGAATAGCTTTTTTTTTGCCACTTCTGAGTGTCAAATCTGGTCCTCATTCTTCTGAAGGTTAAAGCTACTAATTAAGTTGAAGAGAACTAAGATAGGGAATAATTGCTCTACAGCACAAAAAATTATGTGTCAAAGCAGTAAAGTTACAAAGCAATAAAATGCCAGCAAATACAGTTTTTAAAAGTGTTGTAATATTTCATCCATATTAATTGCATGTGTGTTTTCCTTTCTATAGGTGATTTTCTGCCACCCCCACCTCCACCTCTAGATGATCCCTGTATTATTCCACCTGGTTCTGGAAACTTCCCTCCTCCACCGCCCCTTGATGAAGGTGCTTTCAGGACGCAGGTATGTTCTTTGGTTGAAGTCACCGATAGAAACCATGCTATATAAGTTGTGTTTATAAGTAAGCTCATGAATTCAGTGATTGTTTCTGAGATGGATATATACTTATGTAGAGCCTAAAGAGAGTATTACAATTCACAAAGAACTAAGTTATTTTAATGCAAAATACCCATCTCAAGATTTTCAGAGTTCTGCTGGCTTACTTTCTGAAAACCTGAAAATCTTTTTACTTAGAAATGTTTCAAAAGTAAAAGCCATTTTTTTTAGGTATGCCATTTGAGAAGTCCACATTTTCTTGTTCTTCTGGGGACATAGAACTATGCTATTTATTGCTTTTTTTTTCTGAACCACATATGTTGCGTTCTAAATGAGAAAGGTTTTTGTTGGTAACTATTGGTCCTAATTTTTCAGCAGCATCTTTCTAGCAAAAGCATCTAGAAATCCTTAAGGTTTTCTTTTCTGAGTGAAGTCAAGGGTGCATTTATAGTCTGTTTTGACTATATAGAAGAATTTTTAAAAGATTTATTTATTTATGCATATAATAACTGGGGTACAGGCCAGAGAACCTTCTCTGATGAGAAGATTCACCAGAGACAGAGTGGGCAACAGGACAGGCAGATTGACTGAAATACACTGCTGAGGGGAGCAGCAGGCATGTCAGGAGAGGTCTGCTGTGCCATGTGGGTAGCTCCCTGCTGGGGGATTGAACTCGTGCTGCAGTGGCTGTGGATAGCTTCATGGGTTGTGTCTTAACCCCTTGCGCCACCAGGGAGGCGCTATGTAGAAGTATTATGCTCCAGAGTTTTTGATTGCAAAGTAACTCATGGCTGAAGTTCAGAAGAAGCATTAGAAGTCACGCTCAGCCTTTGTAGGGACATTTGTTGAACTAGTCTCCTGTATTTAGGCAATAAATGCTATTCATGTCTGAAAGGGAAACTAAATAGCAAATTCATAATGTTACTCTTACTTTTGGGGGCTGATGATGTTACTGTCAATAGGCTGAAAAATAAGACAGTCCTTATCTTTAAGAGAAGCATCAGAAATATGTGTGAATGAAATGGAATGACTTCTGATACTTGCTTCAAAATAAGAAGAGTGAGGAGTTACAGAGTGAGAATATGGGTGAAACATGATTCATTTTGAGTTGATTCCTGGGTGCACATTTTTCCTATTCTGTGGTCTATCTTTACATATAAACCTTTTTTCATACTAAGTTCTAAGGAGGAATAGATATGGAAAATAGCTGCTTCAATGATTCAGTCTTGTCTACTTTATTCCCTCCTATTTTCAGATTGGATGACACATAGGAAGCAATGATTTGGCTCATTCAACAAATATTCTGTGTTTTTGTGTGAGTGCCGTGATAGCACTAGGAATTCTATAGGAAAAAAGACAGGTAGGATTCTTCCCTCATGAAAATTACATGAGTGAAACTAGTAGAAGTAAGCAAAATACGTATATTACAAAGTGCATGGGAATAAGAGTCAGTGCTGTGGGTCATGGGAAAGGGATGTATCCAACCTCAGGTGGACATGCAACCTGAGAGAATGACCTAAACAAGGCTTAGAGGAAGAGAGGAGGGAAGGAGCCATATGGATTTCCTGGGGAGTGTTTTTATATAGTAGATCTCAAGGAATAGCGGAAGGTTCTTTTCCCCACTGATCAGTTAAAATTAGTAAGTTCCAGTCATAATGAGTAAGCTCCAATTGAGACTAGATCTTTTAATAGCTCTTAAAAGTTTTATGTCTTAGATATATATGTTACACATTTCCTACGTTTTTCCTTGCTCTAAGGTTGTAAAATCAAAGATTCAATGTCAGTCTACACAGCTTATGTTTACTTTCAGCAATAAAGAAATCCCTTGGTAAATAAAAGTAATATTTGTTTTAATTATCTTTAGATTTTTCTGTTAACAAAAAAACACACTTAATATTCGCCTTTTATATACTTTTCCTTTTTTTTTGTTGATGAGAGTTCTTTGCATATTGTTTAACTTAATAAGTCTACTTTCTTTTTTGCACTATCATGGGAGCTTTTTACTTATTTTAAAATCTTTAATTTTACAAGATTGTCCTTGTGAATGAAGACTTGTGTTTGAATACTAGTTGATCAGCATACTCTGGTTATGTTATCTTGAACAGGTCACACTAAGTCTCAGAGTCCTCATAATTAAAAATAACTCTATTGCTACTAATTTAATGAAATACAGATGAATTTGAAATTGCTAAACTTAATGACTACACAGATATTGTGACATTGTAATTATTTCTATATAAAAATAGCAATACCAGGAATAATAACAAGACTTTGACAAAGGAGTTCATTACAAAAAATTCCTACATGGAACGTTGACAAAATTACAAAAATTCATTTTCTGTATGGACCATGCCTTGATAACTATACTCAAATCATGACTTTGTTTTTGAAAAGGAAGGAAATAAACAAAAAGCCTGTTGCCATGTTGGCTTATGTTCTCTGCAAAACAGAAGGAAGTATGATAAAAAATAAAATAGAGTTTGCCAAATGGAAAAGGACAAATCTGGTAGGAAAGGCGTGTTATTCTTGACTATGTGGAAGATTGTTGGCAAGTTCAAAAGGAAACAGGCATGCCCTTCCCTTGTGTGGAGTGACTTGGATGAGATAGTGGCTTGGCCCCACTGTTGCCATATCTGCACTACCTTTAGATATGAGTTATAATGGAGCCCAAAGTAGTGTAATTGCTGGAGAAATTTTTCACTTTTCCCTCTCAGCTACAGTGAAACCTTATGTTGCCAAGTTCAAATTATAGCCACGATACATGTGTTTTATGAAAAAGTCTGTTTATGTTTCCACCCAAATTTTCAGGTTTGTGCCAAAAGAATGTCTACTAAATGTGACTGTAAGAATTATAAGATTGGTCCTCCCCAGTGGCGCAGCGGTTGAGCGCTGGGTTGCGAAGCTGCCTGCGGCCTCTGCGGTGCCGGTTCGATCCCTGACTGCTCCCCGGCCACCAGAGGAGGGTCCCACATGGCGTGCAGACCTCTCCTGCCGCCCGCTGCTCCCCTCAGCAGTGTACTTTGGTCCTTCTGCCTGTTCTGCTCCCCGCTCTGGCTCTGGTGAATTCTCTCACCCTCCCGTGCTTCTGACTGTACCCAGTGCATGTATAAACAAACAAAAACAAACAAACAAACAAAATAAATAAATAAAGCATGCCTCTATTAAAAAAAAAGAATTATAAGATTGTCAGAGCTGATAGGGACCTTAGAGATCATTTAGGTTACATGCTTTTATTTGGAAGGACCCAATGTTGCTGGAGTTTTGCTTAAATGCAGTTTTGCAAAAACCCCATGAGTTTTTGATATATGATATGCTGTAAAGTTTTTTTTTTTTGCAATAGATAAATATGTAGTAAAAACAAGTAAATACAATTTGTTTTGAGAATTTGATTTTTTATTGTAAAAGGTGAATCTTAGAAAACAAACCACATACTTTCTTTTCTGTCAGGATCACTTTGACCTAAGTGCCTGGAATTTTGGAGGAACCATTTTGCAGTAATTTCATACATTCATTTGTTCAGCATTCATTGACTACAACTTGATTGCCTTCTATAAGTCAAATACATCCATTAGAGATTATAGCTTTTAGAAATTGGCATCATAGATCTAATGTCCACTGTCTTTACTTTGGCACTGTTAGATTTTTTTCTGTTAAGATGTCGAGTTGCTAATTTTTCCTATTTCAGCCAACAGGTGGTCTAGCTGAAACTCAAGCTTAAACTACTGCATAGATACTATCTTAGCATTGCCTAGATAGTATCAAAGGCAGAAATGTTTCAGAGAATTTCACATGTATAAGGAAGGAATATGTGATTTGAATCTCCTAATTATTTTTTTTTAATTTAACAAAATGTGTATCAGTGACTTACAGATAAACAATGTTGAAAGATAAGGAGCTGGACCAGATATAGTAGCTCAGAGTCAATTTTGGGAGAGGCAGTTACATACAACTTTTAATTTAAGTGCATTATTGCAAGTTATGCTTGAGTCATCATGCTATGATTGACCAGAAGCATAATCTAAGTCGTATGTTGTGGTCAAGGGTGGGAGAAATAAATTAACCGTGATGGAGAGCTTAAAGTAGGATTCTTGGAAACAATTTTAATTAACCTAAACTTTGATGGCTGGATAAGATCTTAATTTCAGATGGGGGGAATGGATTTTTTTTTTCAACAATAATGGAATAAGAATAAGAATACAAAGGAAGAAAATCCCAAAGTAGATATGATAAGTCTGCATTTCCAACTGTGAACTATGCCTTATTTTCTTAAACCGTTGATAGTGGTTTGTATTGTGGGTGTTTGTTATTACTGTACATATAAGGTTGCTATCCCCAGATTTGTTGTTGATGTTTTTATCATTTCACCAGGTAAAATATATTGCACCTGTGAGAAACCCCAGGCAAACATTTCCGAATTGTTTGGTGGATTTGCCTAGGTCCTCTGGGACTTATCTGTTGACACCTGGTGGCTTTGAGCTTCCTCTTTTTTGTAGCTTACTTTGCTTGACTTTTCTTCATGACCTCCAGTTGACAACTCCTACTTTTACCTTCCTTATAGTGACCCCTCCTGTGGCTTGTACTTACTTGCTTTTTGTATACTTTTATCTCTCTGTTTTCACTTATACCAGTAGGATGTCTGTGTTTTGGAGTGCAACTCCTGTCCTTCCACCTCAGAAAACAAATTTCTGTTGTCCATTGTAGGTTACTTTAAAAGGTAAAGACTGTGATCTGCCCCTTTATGAGTTGCTCACACTGATTTCCACCTACCCTCTTAGAAAATAACAGACATTCAAAGGAACTGTCAGGCCAGGAGAGTGAGAGGTGATACTTGCCCCAAGGAGTTGATCAATAAAGCTATCCAAGTGGTGATTTTCTGAGGAGAGAGTGAGAACAGTATAAATGAACTATGTCCTGGACTTGGGGATATGGTCAGAATTAGTTAAAAAGTGAAGGAAGTAGAGAAAGAT